AGCCCTTTAGTCTGAGCTAATCAGGAGGCTGAGTTGGGAGGATTGCTTGAGCCCAGGAGGTGGAGGCTGCTGTGAGCTATGACCTCACCACTGCACTCCAGCTTGGGGGACAGAGCTAGTCTCTGTCTCAAAAAAAAATAGGATACACTGATATTTTACAAAACTCTGCCTTCTACAGGCATCTAGTCTAATGGGACTGGAAGAAATCAGGGAAGATCACCTAACCCCAATGTCACATTATAATAGGATGTAACTGGAGTGCTGTGGGTATGCAGCAGTGGGAAGATGAGGGCAGGCATCATAGAGGCGTGGGGTGAACTGACTTTAAGAAATGTGTCATTCTCCTCAAAACACGTGTGCAGGACCCCAGACAGAAAACACAAAGTCGAGTGGTGAGCATTTGGAAGGAGCGGTGAAACCAAGCCAGGAAACACCAAGAGGATGAGCCAGTTTGGCTTTAGAGACATTGCAGAGAGGGTGGAATTGACCCTGGCCTCGATTTCAAAAGACATCAGCTAAGGAAGCTGTTCAGGTGGGCAGTAGGGGGTCAGACCTGGGCTTTGGAGAGATGTTCAGGGTGCACTAGGAAGCCCCCTGGCTTGGGGAGAGGCTCCAGGAGACCACAGCAGGGAGGATTTAACAGTGGATTCGAGTGATGACAGGGGCCTGAACTGTGGCCTCTGTCATGGGAACCCAGAGGCCAATGTACCCTTGCATTTGGGGTTGATGTGGGAAGGAGAGAGACAGAGGAACCAGAAATGGCTGCTTGCTGGGGGAAGTGTCATGTCCACTACATTTCCTCTCCCCTTGGGGGGTGGTTACAATTCTTTTTGATTTATTCTTTTATTTGTAAACTGATGTTTGAGCTTGGGTTTTGTTTTTTTTTTTTGGCTTTGTTTGTTTTTGAGAAAAAGTCTCAGTCTCAGTCTGTTGCCCACACTGGAGTGCAGTGGCTCAATCTTAGCTTACTACAACCTTTCCCTCCTGGGTTAAAGTAGTTCTCTTGCCTCAGTGTCCTGAGCAGCTGGGATTACAGGTGCACATCACTGTGCCTGGCTAATTTTTGTACTTTTTTAGTAGAGACAGGGTTTCAACATGTTGGCCAGGCTCGTCTCGATCTCCTGACCTCAGGTGATGTGTCCACCTCAGCCTCCCAAAGTGCTGGGATTATAGGCGTGAGTCTGCACCTGGATTGAGTTTGTTTTTAGATAAAGCAGTCTAAAAACATCATGGCATAATGCTATCTTTTCAATACACAGAGTAAAGAGGACAAGTAGGTGAAAGAATAAATGAAAGATTGGAATCCCACTTCCCCCCACTGTCCCAAGGTGTTGGACATTGACGAATAGGAGGAAGCAAGCCACTCACAGGGCCAGGAAGAAATGAATGCATCAGTATTGCCAGGAGAAGAGGCCGGCACAGCTAAAATATGCTATGACCATAGCTAGCAGGTACTGATGGAGAGAAAGGAACACACAGAAAGAAAAGTCACATCTTGGAAGAGGAAGATCCTGGAGATGGGGCAATGGGGGGCTGGGGAGGGGCTGCCCATCAGAGAAGGGACCTCAGTGTTGGGGTGACTGTGCTTATTTGGAATCTGTGGGGTGGAGGGGTATTTGATGGTGGGATGCAAGTCTGAGGAGCCAGAGGAAGGGATGTGGGTGATGCGCCCAGCCTGGTGAGCTCCAGTGGGATCTTTGCAGGGAGTGTGTCTACATTGGCTGGCATCAGGAGGGTCTTTTCTGTGCCAGGCAGTGAACTTTCTGAAAGCACGAGGAGTAGAGAGGCCAGGAGCTTCAGGGCTGTGGCTGGACTGTGGGCCAGGGTTCAGATCTCAAAGGATCGGTAGGAGAGGGAGGGGCCACTCAGTCACTCTGAAACAGACCAGCAGAGTCCCAAGGAAAATGCTGACAAATTATAAAAGACCAAGAAGAGCCAGGAGTATTCTGTGACCCCAGTTCTTTGACAGGCAGAGACAGGAGGATCACGTGAGCCCAACAGTTCAAGAACAACCACAGCAAGGCCCTCTTTCTACAAAAATGACAGAAATTAGTGGAGCAAGGTGGCCTGTGCCTGTAGTCCCAGCTACTCAGGAGGTTGAGGCAGGAGGACTGCTTGAGCCCAGGAAATTAGAGGCTGCCATGAGCTGCAATCATACCACTGTACTCTATCCTGAGGAACAAAGCTAGACTCTGTCTCAAAAAAAGAAAATGGTGGGCACCAAAACTGAAGACCTTGGGAGCTGGCTGGGCACAGTGGCTCACATCTGTAATCCCAGCACTTTGGGAGGACAAAGCGGGCGGATCACCTGAGGTCAGTTGTTCAAGACCAGCCTGGCCAACATAGCAAAACCCTCTCTCTACTAAAAACACAAAAATTAGCCAGGTGTGGTAGTGCACACACCTGTAATCCCAGCTACTCTGGGAAGCTGAGAGAGAATCATTTCAACCCTGGAGGTGGAGGCTGCAGAGAGTCAATTTCATGACATTGCCCTCCAGCCTGGGCAACAGAGCAAGATTCTATCTCAGGAAAAAAACAAAACTGTGGAGGGGGAGCATCAGGTGGGAGATGGTGAAGGGAGAGAGAGGGGAACTGTGGGTGTGGAGGCTGTGTGTTGGAGCAGGAACACAGTTACCTGGAGAACAACCTTACCTTGTCCAGCACCCTGAGATCTTTGTCCCAGGCCAGGAATCTTTTAACGACAAGATCCTCTGTGATCAGAGAGCATGCTACTGTGAGAAGCAGAACGGTTTCCCTGGGAGCAAAAGGGTAGTGAAGAGAAGTGCACCTCTCTGGGGAAAGCCCTCAGGATGGTGTCTCAGGTGAGGTGGATGGGACAGGAGAGAATGACTTTCACTGGGCAAAGGAGAGGCTTCCGCTGTGAGGCTGCCCTGAGAAGTGGCCGAAGAAGGTCCTGAGTGTGCGAATCTATAGGACAGAGAGCTGGGAAGAAGCCAGGATGCCCTCCCCGCAGACACACAGGGATCACTGCAGAGTCATAAAGTAATTCCCGTCATTTCCTCATGAGACAGTCACATCAGGGTGTGACCATGGCTTTGGTATCTCCCTCTAGGGATGGAGACAGTTAGGTTTAGAAAGTCAGCAAGAGGCCGGGCACGTTGACTCATGCCAGTAATCCCAGTACTTTGGGAGGCAGAGGCAGGTAAATCACAAGGTCAGGAGTTTGGGACCAGCCTGGCCAACATGGTGAAACCCCATCTCTACTAAAGATACAAAAAATTATCTGGGTGTGATGGTGTGCGGCTGTAATTCCAGCTATTCGGGAGGCTGGGGCAGGAGAATCACTTGAACTAGGGAGGTGGAGGAGGCTGCAGTGAGCCGAGATCATGCCACTGCACTCCAGCCTGGACAACAGGGTGAAACTTTGTCTCAAAAAAACAAAGTCAGCAAGAAACATTAAGTTTCAGAGGGCACAGCTGAAACCTTTCTTTGATTTTGTTTTTATTTCAATTGATTGATTGATTGGAGATGGAGTCTCACTCTGTTGCCCAGGCTGGAATGCAATGGCATAATCTCAGCTCACTTGCAACCTCCACCTCCCAAGCAAGCAATTCTCCTGTCTCAGCTTCCTGAGTAGCAGGGATTACAGGTATGCACAGCCACTCCCAGCTATTTTTTGTATTTTTAGTAGAGAGGGGGTTGCACCGTGTTGGTCAGGCTGGTCTCAAACTCCTGACCTCAGGTGATTCACCCATCCACCTCAGCCTCCCAAAGTGCTCAGATTATAGGCATGATCTACCACGCCTGGCCTTGGTTTTTCTTCTGAGATAGGGTTTGGTTCTGTCACCCAGGCTGGAGTGCAGTGGTACAATCACAGCTTACTGCAGTCTCAAAGTCCCGAGTTCAAGCAATCCTCTTGCCTCAGCCTGCAAAAGTGCTGGGATCTCAGGCATGAGCCATGGCGCCTCGCCTGGCCTGAAACCAAGCAAGCTTTCTTATCCCAATCGCAGACCTTCATCAAGTCTAGCTGAATCCTCTATAGCCTCCTAAGCATCCCTCCTGAGTGATCACTTCTGAGTCCTCCTGTATGGAGAGCTCACCCAATAGGGGGGCATATTTTTCCCATGGGAAAAGTATGGTAATGGGAAGTTTCCCTTTAGGACTGGAGGTGCTCTCTGGGTGTCCTCCTACCAAGCAGCCTGTTGAAGACCTCATAGTGCTCAGGGAGCATGGGCAACACTCGCCGTAGCTTCAGCTTCACCTTCAGACCACACAAGGTCTCCATCACCCAGGTCTCCTCAGGCTCAGGGAGCACCTTCTCTGGCTCCTCCTGATTCGTCTGACCACTCCCTCTTCCGTTTCCAGCACAGAAACCTAAGTGGGCGGGGGGGGGTTGCAATCTACCCAAGGGGTTGAGTAAAAACACAGGCCACCACGTAATGCTTCAGTAACTGATCACCTTAAACCCGATCCCAAACCACAAAACACTCTCCATCCTCCCCAGCCCTGCAGACTGTTGGCTTCTGCAAGCCATCTTTCTGTCTTTCTTCTTTGTAAACCCCATGTGCCTCTTCTTCTCTTCCCCATTCTTCCATCTCTCTGTCCACAGAATGCATCATTTCCTTTTCTGGTCCCAGCTTTCTGAGTCATATTTCTTGTTTTACTTTATTGCCCAGGCTGGAATGCAGTGGTGCAATCTCCTATCACTGCAACCTCCATCTCCCATGTTCCAGTGATTCTCCTGCCTCAGCCTCCCAAGTAGCTGGGATTACAGGTGCCCACCATAACACCCAGCTCATTGTCATACTTTAGAGACAAGGTTTTACCATGTTGGCCAGGCTGGTCTCATACTTCTGGCCTCAAGCGACCCTCCTGCCTTGGCCTCCCAAAGACCTGGGGTTACATGTGTGAGCCACTGCACCTGGCCTGAGTTCCCTCTTTGCTTCCCCCACACACTCCCTCAGTGCTCCTTCCTGATTACTGGGTTGGTCTTCCCTCCCTTCCCCCCTCCCCCTCCCCTCTCCTTCCCTTCTTCTCTCTCTCTCTCTCTCTCTCTCTCTTTCTCTCTTTTGAGACAGGGTCTCATTCTCTCCCCTAGAGTGCAGTGACTCCATTTCAGCTCACTGCAACCTTTGCCTCCCAGGTTCAAGAGATTCTCCTACCTCAGCCTCCCTAGTAGCTGGGATTACAGGCATATAACCTGGCTAATTTTTGTATTTTTGGTAGAAATGGGTTTTCACCATGTTGGTGAAAACAGGCTGGTCTCAAACTCCTGATCTCAGTTGATCCACCCACCTTAACCTCCCAAAGTGCTGGGATTACAGGTATGAGCTACCACACCCGGCTTTGTTTTTTCTTCTTCTGAGATGGGGTTTTGCTCTGTCACCCAGGCTGGAGTGCAGTGGAAGAATCGGCTCACTGCAACCTTGGCCTCCCAGGCTTAAGCAATTTTCCTGCCTCAGTGTCTCGAGTAGCCGTAGCTGGGGTTACAGGCACGTACCACTACCACCCAGCTAATATTGTATTTTTAGTAGAGATGGGGTTTCACCATGTTGGGCAGGCTATCTCAAACTGCTGACCTCAGGTGAACCGCCCACCTCAGCCTTCCAAAGTGCTGGGATTACAGGTGTGAGCCAACCCCCAACCCCTACCCTTGTTCCCTCCTGGTTCTTAGTCAATCCTCTCTCATCTCTTCTTCCTCTAGTCCCCTCTCCTGATGGTCCTGGCATTTCATAGTTCACCACCTCTGGGAGGGAGTACTCTGAGGTGCTAGGCTGGGGGCTCTGCTCCTCAACCTGGGGTTGCCATTGATGGCTGGCCATGATCTCCCCCAAATTCTGTTCCCTCCCAGGGAACCTAGTTCCTGTTGTGGCCAAAGCCTTCCTCCATACTCTACTAGGAACCAGAAGAATGTGCTATCTATTCTGAAGGCTGGGAAGAAGTCAGGAGTGGAGAACAGCTCTGAGAAGATACTGTTTGTCCACCTGAGTTTCAAAGTCCCCACAGAGTTCAATCCCTCCAATCAGGAAGGGTGGAATCTCTGATGTCATTGGTCATTCCAACCTGGCAACCAGTTTGAAGAAAAACACATGTAACTGCCAGCCTGAGCTCCTGTCCTGGAGATCCGAAGTGAATGGCATCTTTTGCCACCATCCCAACCTCAGACCATTGTCCTAAAGCATCTTCAGGGTTTCCACATCCCTCGCTTCCTGTCCCAGCAGAGGCTGTGTCCTCTCTACTCAAAGCCTGAAGCATGCTGGGGTCTCATCTGGACATGCACATTTCAGAGTCCCATCTGGTAGGAGAGGGAGCAGGGTGGCAAAGAAAAGTAGGGAAAGTAGAAATGATGCAACCTTACAAGAGTGAGACTAATATGTACAAGAGATCCCAGGTTCACTGACTTGATGAAAAAGTTACATCAAAGCACTCAATTTGGCAAAGCTTTTCTGCTGAATGTTTCCTGACATTCACTGTCTGAGATTCTGTATTAGGGGTACATGCATCCTCTGCCCTAAGGCATCTTTGAGTCCAAGAGACATTCTGAGGACTGAAAATCATAGGAAACTGTCCATGAGCTCACACCTATTTCCAGTGGTGTCCCCAATTTCAGGAAGTCCATGGATTACCTAAAACTAGCCCCTCCAGTTGAGCTAGGAAACTCTAGTCTACATATCAAGTTTTGTATCATATATATTTCCCTCAACCCAGAAATTTCCCTACCATTTATGGATTCTATGAATAAAATATCACATGTACAAAAAGATTAAGTCAAAAAAATCTCGGCTGTGCACAGTGGTTTTGCTTGTAATCCCAGCACTTTGGTTGGCCAAGGGAGGAAGATTGCTTGAGGCCAGGAGTTCAAGACTAGTGTGGGCAATAGAGCAAGACCCCCATCTCTATTTAAAAAAAATAAAAAATAAACAAATTAGCCAGGTGTGGTGGCTGGCACCTGTGGTCCAACTACTTGGGAGACTGAGGCAGTAGGATTGCTTGAGCCTAGGAGTTAGAGGCTACAGTGAGCTATGATTGTGCCACAGCACTTTAGCCTGAGCAACAGAGTGAGACCCTGTGTCAAAAAAATTTTTTTAACAAAAAATAAAAGAGTTTCATGGCATTCAGAGACCATCCTGGGAAACTGTGAGTTCTGGCTGTAGTGGCTCATGCCTGTAATCCCATAACTTTGGGAGGCCAAAGCAGGTAGATCACCTGAGGGCAGGAGTTCAAGACCAGCCTGGTCCACATGGTGAAACCCTGTCTCTGCTAAAAGTACAAAAAATTCGCTGGGCATGGTGGCAGCTTCCTGTAATGCCAGCTACTTGGGAGGCTGACAGGAGAATTGCTTCAACCCAGGAGGTGGAGTTTGCAGTGAGCCAAGATAGTGCCACTGCACTCCAGCCTAAGCAACAGTGTGGGACTCCAACTAAAAAAAAGAGCTATGTATTTCTCACCCAATTTGCCTGCTAGGAAATTCCTTGTGAGCACACCAAGAACTTTACTGAACTATAAGTCATCCTTGTGCTCACCTGAGACAAGTGCATATCTGATTGCTTCCTCTGCTGGAAAAATGCAGATTCCCTGAGCTAGGCAAAGGCATAAGTGATGGATAGCCAGCAGCAGTGGCTCAGGCCTGAAATCCCAGTATTTTGGGAAGTCAAGGCGGGTGGGATCACCTGAGGTCATGACTTCAGACTCGCCTGACCCACACGTTGAAACCTCATCTCAAATTTGAGAAGTTGAGGCTCCAAGAGGTAAAATTACAAGTTTGAAATATCTTTTTTATTTTTCTTTAGATGGAGTTTGCTCTGATGTCCAAGCTGGAGCCAAGCTGGAGTACAGTGGTGTGATCTTGGCTCACTGAAACCTCTGCCTCCTAAGTTCAGGGAATTCTCCTACCTCAGCCTCCTGTGTAGCTAGGATTACAGGTGCATGCAACCATGCCTGGCTAATTTTTTCCATATTTGTAGTAGAGACAAGGCTTCACCATGTTGGTCAGCATAGTCTTGAACTCCTGACCTTGTGATCCACTCACCTCAGTCTCCCAAAGGGTTGGGATTACAGGTGTAAGCCACCAAGCCTGGCTGGGACTTCTTCTTAATGATTTTGAAGAGATAAACTTAATTATTTTAATAAATATAATAATGTGTATGTTTGTAAGCTTAGTGTGATGTTTTGATCTACGTATACATTGTGGAATGATTATATGAAGGTAATTAACACATCCACCATCTCACACATGTACCATTTTTCTGTCGTGAGAACATTTAAAGTCTAATTTTTCCAGTCACAGTGGCTTATGCCTGTAATGCCAACAGTTTGGGAGGCTGGTGCAGGCGAATCATCTGAGGCAGAGTTCAAGACCAGCTGGGTTAACATGGTGAAACCCCACTTCTAAAAATACAAAATTAGCTGGCCAAGGTGGCACACACCTGTAATCCTAGCTACTCAGGAGGCTGAGGCAGGGAAATCACTTGAACCATGGAGGCGGAGGTTGCAGTGAGCCGACATCGCACCATTGCATTGCAGCCTCAGCAACAGAGAATGACTCTGTCTCAAAAAATATATATATAAAATAAAATAAAATGTACCTTCTTTTTGAGATGGAGTGTGGCTTTCTCACCCATGCTGGAGTGCAATGGCACAATCTCAGCTCACTGCAACCTCTGCCTCCCAGGTTCAACTGATTCACCTGGCCTCAAGTGATCTGCCCTCTTCAGCCTCTCAAACAGCTGGGATTACGGGCATAAGCCACTGGGCCAAACCAAAATCTACTTTTTAAGTAATTTTGAAATATACATTATCAGTAACTATAGTTCGTAATGAATAATACTCTTGATGGGCAATATATCTCAAAAACCCACTCCTCCCATCTAACTCAAATATTGTACCTTTTGGTCAACACGAGAGACGTATTTCACTGCATTTTAAAAATATCATGAAGAGGTCTCAGGAAACATTTGGCATCTTCTTATTTCTGTAGGTCTTACTCATAGACTCTTAGATCTTATTCATCTGCCTGCTGATCTGTTCCTTTTTCAGAGATGTAGATGCTATCCAACATTTTTCTTTCCTTTTTTTTTTTGTTTTGAGATGGAGCCTCGCTCTATTGCCCAGGCTAGAGAGCAGTGATACCATCTCAGCTCACTGCTACGTCCATTTCTCAGGTTCAGGCAATTCTCCTGCCTCAGCCTCCTGAGTAGCTGGGGAGTATAGGCACACACCACCATGCTTAGATAATTTTTGTATTTTAATAGAGACGAGGTTTGACCATACTGGCCAGGCTGGTCTTAAACTCCTGACCTCAGGTGCTCCTTCCACCTTGGCCTCTCAAAGTGCTGGGATTACAGGCGAGAGCCATTGCATCCAACCAGCCATCCAATATTTTCTGATACCCTTGTTTTTAGCATGATCATAGCTCACTGCAGCCTCCAATTCCTGGGCTCAAGCGATCCTCCCACCTCAGCCTCCCGAGTAACTGGGACTACAGGCAGGTGAGCACCACCATGCCCAGCCAATTTTTGTAGTTTTTTTTGTAGAGATGGGGGTCTTGCTTTGTTGCCAGGCTGGTCTGAAACTCCTAGCCCCAAGGGATCCTCCCACTTCAGCCTCCCAAAGTGCTGGGATTACAGGCATGACCCACCATGCCTGGCCAGCTTCACGATTTTACCTGTAGCTTCTGCTTTCCTGAATTTATCTCTGCCTTTGGAAACCCACACCTGCCAATGCCCAGCTAATCCTGTATTTTCAGTAGGGGTGGGGTTTCTCCATGTTGGTCAGGCTGGTGTCAAACTGCCAGCTTAGGTGATATGCCCCCCCTTGGCCTCCCAAAGTGCTGAGATTACAAGCATGAGCCACCGTGTCTGGCCAAAAACGGGTTTTGAAGTTGTATTTGTGAAGCCGTGTTTTTGTATGGGGTAAAATCTCAGGTTCATTGTTCCAAGACCATGGAAAACTGAATGCAGACACTCCAGAGTGAAATTAAGAGTGGTATAACAGACAAAAGAAAGCGAAGAGCTCTCTGTGCAGAGAGGAGTCCTGGAGAAAATGGGTTGCCACTTCCACAGTGAATGAAGAAGGTTTTTTGTTGTAATTTTAGGTAGAGTCTCACTCTGTCTCCCAGGATGAAGTGCAGTGGTGCTATCTCGGCTCACTGCAACCTCTGCCTCCCTGGTTCAAACAATTCTCCTGTCTCAGCCTCTCGAGTAGCTGGGATTACAGGCACCTGCCATATCCTCAGCTTATTTTTGTATTTTTAGTAGAGAGGGGTTTCACCATAATGGCCAGACTGGTCTCTAACTTCTAACCCCAAGTGGCCTCAGGCTTTCAAAGTGCTGGATTTACAGGTTTTACAGAGGAGCTTGAGGAGGTGGTATCTGATTTACATAGGGTGCAAAAGACTGGTTGGACCAGGGATGCTATTTGTAAAGCCTGTGAAAGAAGCTGGCCACTCCACCCTAATCTTTTATCATGCAGATGGTTTTTTACCAGGATTGAAGCCATGTTGTCTAGTATTTTATTATTTTATTTTGTATTTTATAATGGAGTCTAGTTCTGTTGTCAGGCTGGAGTGCAGTGGCACAATCATGGCTCATTGCAACTTCCACTTGCTGCCTTCAAGCAATTCTCCTGCTTCAGCCTCCCGAGTAGCTGGGATTACAAGCGGGACCACCATGCCCGGTTAATTTTTGTATTGTTAGCAAAGACAGGGTGTCACCATGTCGGTCAGGCTGGTCTCAAACTCCTGACCTTGTAAACTACCTGCCTCAGCCTCCCTAAAAGCTGGGATTACAGGCATGAGCCACTGCGCCTTGCTGTTCCTCCTCCTCCTCCAATTTTCCTTCTCTTCAGATTACAGGCATGAGCCACCTCACCTGGCTGTTCCTCCTCTTCCTGATCCTTTTTCTCCTCCCCTTTTCCTTCTCTTCCTCCTTCTCAGATTATAGGCATCAGCCACCCCACCTGGTTGTTCCTCCTCCTCCTATTACAGGTATGAGCCACCTCACCTGGCTGTTTCTCCTCCTCAAATTACAGGTGTGAGCCACCATGCCTGGCTGTTCCTCCTCCCCCTCTTCTGGCTGTTTTTTCTCCTCCTCCTACTTATTCATATTATTTTTTAATTCGGTGTCTTGCTCTTGTCACCCAGGCTGGAGTGCAATGGTGTAATTCTGGCTCACTGCAACCCCTGCCTCTTAGATTAAACTAATTATCCTGCTTCAGCCTCCCATGTAGCTGGAATTACCGGCATCTGCCACCATGCCCAGCTAATTTTTTTGTATTTTTAGAGACGGGGTTTAACCATGTTGGCCAAGCTGGGCTCAAACTCATTACTTCAGGAGAGCCATCCACCTTGACCTCCAAAGAAAGAAATGAAAAAAGAGAAGGAAAGAGTCAATGAAAGAAAGAGAGAAAGGAAGGAAAGAAAGAAGGAAAGAAAGAGACATAAAGAAAAGAAGAGAGAAAGAAAGAGGGGAAAGCAAGGAAGGAAGGAAAGGGAAAGAAGTGGGGGAATAAAAGGAGGAAGGAAAGAAGGAAAGAAGAAGAAAGGGAGTTGGAAGTGTAAGGGGAAGGGAAGAGAGGAAGAAAGAACAAGAGAGAAAGATGGAAAGAGAAAGGAAGAAAAGAGAGGAAAGAATGAAAGAAAGAGAAAGGAAGGAAGGATAAACAAAGATATAAAGAAAGAAAGGAAGATGAGAAAGAAAGGAAAGAAGGAAGGAAGAGGAAAGAAGTTGGGGAATGAAGGAATGGAGGAAGGAAGGAGGAGGGCAGGAAGGAGAAAGGGAAGTGTAAGTGCAAAGGGAAGGGAGGAAGAAAGAAAGGAAGAAAGAGAAAGAAAGAAGAAAAAAGAAGAAAGGAAGAAAGGAAGGAAAGAAAAAGGAGAGAAGTGGGGAAAGGAAGGGAGGGAGGAAGGGAAAAAGGAAGGAGGGAAGGAAAGAAGGAAGGAAGAAAGAAGGGGAAGGGGAAGGGAAGGGAGGAAGAAAATAGAAAGAGAAAGAAAGAAACAAAGGAAAAAAGGAAAAAGGAAATAAGGAAAGAAAGAAAGAGGAGAGAAGTAGGGGAAGGGAGGGAGGGAGCGAGGGAGGAAAGGAAGGGAGGGAGGGATGGAGGGGTGTGTCACCAAGGTCAGGTGGAAAAGGTTGGGGCTGGGCTGGGAGGCAGGAGGTGGAAGTAAGCAAGGAAGGAGAGAAATGGAAGCAGGGAGACACTTGAGGAAAGGCAAGAAGAGGATCGAGCAGCAGGAAGGTGCCAGGGTCTGGGCTGGGAGACAGGTGATGCCCTGTGGAGCCCCCATGTTGGTGCTGCTCTGAGGAGCCAGGGTGTGGCTGCAAGTTAGTAGAGGGTGACTGTGTGGCCACCCTCTAGTACTGAGGAGAAAGGGGTTGACAAGACTGGTGGTGGGAAGAGTCACTGGTGGGGTGGGGGAGCCCAGAGAGAGGGGCCCAAGGCCCAGAGAGCAGCTGCTCTCTGCCTCTGGTCTCTCATACTCTTTTCTTGCACAGCTGTTCTGGGACATTCCATGACTGGGGGAGTTCATGACTCTCTCCTCACCACAGCTCCTCATACCCAGCACCCTTAGCAGACTGAGACCCTCACTACAAGCCTGGCCCAAGTGCCCAGAGTCACTCCCTTCTCCCCTCCTTCCTCCCTGCCCTGCAGTCGGGCTCATGGCGGTCTGGGATCCCCCAGTACATGCTGGCACTTGCCTTTTTTTGAGACAGTTTCACTCTTGTTGACCAGGCTGGAGTTTGGAGGCAAAATCTCAGCTCATTGCAACCTCTGCCTTCTAGGTTCAAGCATTCAAGCAACTCTCCTGCTTCAGCCTCCTAAGTAGCTGGGATTACAGGTACCCACCACCACACCTGGCTAATTTTTGTACTCTTTGTAGAGACAGGGTTTACCGTGTTGGTCAGACTGGTCTCGAACTCCTGACCTCGTGATCCTGCTGCCTCAGCCTCTCAATGTGCTGAAACAACAGGTGTGAGCCACCAAGCCTGGATATGGATAATTTTTTATATTTTTTTAGTAGAGCCAGGGTTTCACCATGCTGGACAGGTTGGTCTTGAACTCCTGACTTCAGATGATCCACCTCCCAAAGTGCTGAGATTACAGGTGTGAGCCACTGCGCCCAGCTTTTGTTTTTGTTTTTCCTGAGATAGAGTCTCACTCTGTTGCCCAGGCTGGCATGTGCGGTATGATCCTGGCTCACTACACCCTCCACCTCCTAGGTTCAAGCAATTGTCTTGCCTCAGCCTCCCTAGTAGCTGGGATTACAGGTTCACAGCACCATGTCCAGCTAATTTTTGTATTTCACCACGTTGGCCAGGCTGGTCTCCAACTCCTGACCTCAGGTGATCCTCCTACCGTGGCCTCCCCAAGCGCTGGGATTACAGGCATAGGCCACTGTTCCTGGCCATACTTGGTGGTCTTTAATGAACACCCTCTGGGTGAGTGAGTGCCCACTGGGAGCTGCCAGGCCCACCCCGTGTCTGTGGGGACTGCCCGTCCCCCACCACCTGCTGAGTTTGTGTTCTTTCCCTTTTCTCCAGCTCTCTAGGGACTTCATGAAGCCCCCGTTCCCTACCCACCAGCCTGGGGCACAAGAATCCACTCTCCAGTGTCCCTCACCTCTGGGACTTATGTATTGGTTTGGTGGTTTTCAAATGTCAGCAATTAATTTTTAGCTCATCACTGTTGCGACGACAGTGCATGTCCTTCTGGAAAAAACATGTCTCCATCAACACCTTGGTGCTGAAGAACCTGAGGGGCCCACTCTAAAGATCCATTAATTGCCAGAGAAGGAGTTTCCCATAATTAGAAAATCATATTCTTTAAAATTCCCTAAGTGCCTTTTCACTGAACAGCCCAAACCCATAGTTGTTTTATGCTTTGCAGAAAGTTACAACATGAGGCTCTCCCAGATCCACATCACCCACACACTGAGGGAGCAGTTCCAGGACATTTTCAATAGGAAATACACTGAGCAGTGGAACACCCCCGGGGGACACGCAGACACTGTGGACAGAGAAGTGGGAGGCTTCCCACTTCCAGCCGAAACTATTCACTCCCTTACACATATTTCTTGAGGATTTACTAAATGCCAGGCATGTCTCAGGCACTGGGGATACTGCGGTGAATGAAACAGGAACTGTACTCATGAGCCTTGCACCTGGGCAACATGGCAAAACCCCGTCTCAACCAAAAATACAAATATATTAGCCAGGTGCGGTGGTGCACTCCTGTGGTCCCAGACACTCAGGAGGGTGAGGCAGGAGAATTGCTTGAGCCAGGGAAGTAGAGGTTGCAGTGAACTGAGATCACACCATTGCACTCCAGCCTGACCAACAGAAGTGAAACTATCAAAAAAAAAAAGAGCCTGGGCTTGGTGGCTCACACCTACAATCCCAGAACTTTTGGAGGCTGAGGTGGGCAGATCATGAGATCAGGAGTTCAAGACCAGCCTGGCCAACTTAATGAAACTCCCTCTTTACTAAAAATACAAAATACAAAAAATTAGCTGAGTGTCCTGGTGGCCACCTGTAATCCCAGCTACTCAGGAGGCTGAGGCAGGAAAATCACTTGAACCTGGTAGGCAGAGGTTGCAGTGAGTTGAGATCGCCCTACTGCACTTTAGCCTGGGCAACATAGTGAAACTGTCTTAAAAAAAAAAAAAAAAAAAGAGGAGCATAGGACATGGTAGCATGTTGGTGTGGCTTCTTCTTTCTTTTTTCCTTTCAGACAGTCTCTCTGTCACCCATGCTCGAGTGCAGTGGTGTGATCATGGTTCACTATAGCATCAAACTCCTTGGCTCAAGCAATCCTCAGCCTCCCAAGTGGCTGGAACCACAGGCATGCACCACCATGCCCAGCTTTTTAATAGAAATTCTTATGAGAGACAGGGTCTTGCTATGTCCCCCAGGCTGAACTCAAACTCTTAGACTTAAGTGGTCCTCCCGCCTTGGCCTCCCAAAATGCTGGGATTACGGGCATGAGTCACCCTGCTGGCCTATTGTTTTATTTTCTGATCAAATAGCTCATATTTTAATGCCTATACGTTTCCACGGTGCTACAACACTTTCGCATCGTTCACTCTTCTGCATGGATGCCTTTCCATCACATGCGTGAAATCCCATGTACACACGCCCCACACTGCCTCTCACTGCAGACCAGCAGGACCCTGCCTCTCACCCACAGGGGAAGCCTTGGGCATCAGGTACACGGTCCAAGTGCCCTCCAAGTGATAAGAGTAACCCTTGCCCCATAATCATCGAGGGGCTGCTCCCAGAAATCCTGTTCTGAAAACCCTGCACCTTCGAGCTATCACTCCAGCCTGCTCCCCCACCACTCCGGCCGCCCTCCTACCACTCCAGCCCGCTTTTCTACCGCTCCAGCTGTCTTCCTACCTCTCCCGCCACCCTCCTACCGCTCCAGCCTGCTCCCCTACGACTCCCGCCGCCCTCCTACCCCTCCAGCCCGCTCCCCAACCCCTCTGGTCGCCCTCCTACTGATGATCCAACCCACTCCCCTAAGACTCCGGCCACCCTCCTATCCCTCCAGCCCGCTCCCCTATGACTCCAACCGCTCTCCTACCGCTCCAGCCCACTCCCCTCTGACTCTGGCCTCCCTCCTACCACTCCAACCTGCTCCCCTACGACTCCGGCCGCCCTCCTAACCCTCCAGCCCGCTCCCCTACCTCTCCGGCCATGCTCCTACCGCTCCAGACCGCTCCCCTACGACTCCGGCCGCCCTCCTACCGCTCCAGCCCGCTCACCTACCGCTCCAGCCCGCTCCCCTACCGCTCCAGCCGCCCTCCTACCGCTCCGACCGCCCTCCTACCACTCAGGCCGCCATCCTACCGCTCCAGCCCGCTCCCCTACCTCTCCGAGCACCCTCCTACCGCTCCGGCTGCCCTCCTACCACTCCAGCCCGCTCCCCTACCTCTCTGACCGCCCTCCTACCGCTCCAGCCCGCTCCCTACCGCCCCAGCCGCCCTCCTACCGCTCCAGCCCGCTCCCCTACCGCTCCGGCCGCCCTCCTACTGCTCCAGCCCGCTCGCCTATGACTCCAGCCGCCCCTCCTACCGCTCCGGCCGCCCTCCTTCCGCTCCAGCCCGCTCGCCTATGACTCCAGCCGCCCTCCTACCGCTCCAGCCCGCTCCCCTACCGCTCCGGCCGCCCTCCTACCGCTCCAGCCCGCTCCCCTACCGCTCCGGCCACCCTCCTACCGCTCCGACTGCCCTCCTGCCACTCAGGCCGCCATCCTACCGCTCCAGCCCGCTCCCCTACCTCTCCGAGCACCCTCCTACCGCTCCGGCTGCCCTCCTACCACTCCAGCCCGCTCCCCTACCTCTCTGACCGCCCTCCTACCGCTCCAGCCCGCTCCCCTACCGCTCCGGCCGCCCTCCTACCGCTCCAGCCTGCTCCCCTACCGCTCCAGCCGCCCTCCTACCGCTCCAGCCTGCTCCCCTACCGCCCCAGCCGCCCTCCTACCGCTCCGGCCGCCCTCCTACCGCTCCAGCCCGCTCGCCTATGACTCCAGCCGCCCTCCTACCGCTCCAGCCCGCTCCCCTACCGCTCCAGCCGCCCTCCTACCTCTCCAACCGCCCTCCTACCGCTCCAGCCCGCTCCCCTACCTCTCCAGCCGCCCTCCTACCGCTCCAGCCCGCTCGCCTATGACTCCGGCCGCCCTCCTACGACTCCGACCGCCCTCCTACCTCTCCAGCCGCCCTCCTACCGCTCCAGCCCGCTCGCCTATGACTCCAGCCGCCCTCCTACCGCTCCAGCCCGCTCCCCTACCGCTCCAGCCGCCCTCCTACCGCTCCAGCCCGCTCCCCTACCTCTCCAGCCGCCCTCCTACCTCTCCAGCCGCCCTCCTACCGCTCCAGCCTGCTCGCCTATGACTCCGGCCGCCCTCCTACGACTCCGACCGCCCTCCTACCTCTCCAGCCGCCCTCCTACCGCTCCAGCCCGCTCGCCTATGACTCCAGCCGCCCTCCTACCGCTCCAGCCCGCCGATGACTCTGGCCGCCCTCCTACCTCTAGCCCGCTACCTTAGAACTCCGGCCGCCCTCCTACCCCTCCAGCCCGCTCCCCTACAACTCCAGCCGCCCTCCTACCGCTCCAGGCAGCTCCCCTACGACTCCCGCCGCCCTCCTCCTGCTCTAGCCCGTTCCCCTACCACTCCGGCCGCCTTCCTACCGCTCCAGTCTGCTCCCCTATGACTCCGGCCGCCCCTCCTACCCTTCCAGCCCGCTCCCCTACCTCTCCAACCACCCGCTCCAGCCCGTTCCCCTACCGGTCCGGCTGCCCTCCTACCGCTCCAGCCCGCTACCCTATGACTCCGGCCGCCACCCTACTCCTCCAGCCCACTACCCTACCTCTCCAGCTGCCTTCCTACCATTCCAGCCCGCTCCCCTACCCCTCCGGCCGCCCTCCTACCGCTCCAGCCCGCTACCCTATGACTCCGGCAGCCACCCTACTCCTCCAGCCCACTACCCTACCTCTCCAGCTGCCTTCCTACCATTCCAGCCCGCTCCCCTACCCCTCCGGCCGCCCTCCTACTGATCCAGCCCGCTCCCTTAAGACTCCGGCCACGCTCCTACCCCTCCAGCCCGCTCCCCTAAGACTCTGACCACACTCCTACCGCTCCAGCCCACTCCCCTCTGACTCTGGCCTCCCTCCTGCCACTCCAGCCTGCTCCCCTACGACGCCGGCCGCCCTCCTACCACTGCAGCCACCCTCCTACCGCTCCAGCTCTCTCCCCTTCGACTCCGGCCACCCTCCTATCACTCCGGCCGGCTGCCTTCCTACCGCTCCAGCCCGCTCCCCTACCACTCCCACTGCACTCCTACCGCTCCAGCCCGCTCCGCTACAACTCCAACCGCCCTCCTAATGCTCCGGCCGCCCTTCTACCGCTCCAGCCTGCTCCCCTAACGCTCTGGCCGCCCTCCTACCGCTCCAGCCCGCTCCCCTACCGCTCCGGCCGCCCTCCTACCGCTCCAGCCTGCTCCCCGACGCCCTCCTACCGCTCCAGCCGCTGCAGTTTCCGTCACCACCACCCACTGCAGCGAGGCCAGCCGCGGTACAGCAGGCTGCAGCCTCCAGCGTGCAGTAGGTGGCTCTGCCGCCCCTTCTCCTGGTCCTCTAAGCCGTGAACACAGTGGCTCCGCTAGAAGATACACAAGAGCCTGGAACAGCGTGAGGCGGCCTCAGCATGCCTTATATACTGAGGTTTTGCCCATGGTTCCTGGACTACATGTTCTGATTGGATGAGAGGAAACCTTTAGGCCTACTCTGATTGGGTTTTATTTTCATGCTCTGATTGGCTGGCCTCAGACTTGTTTTCATCCAATGAGACTGTGTAGTTCAGGAACCTCTGTGCATAACCTCAGTATATAAATGGCTCTGTTGGGCAGGCACTCCATTCTAGGCTTTTCTGTCTCTGTCGGCTGTGCTCCTTGGTGCTGGGCTTAGAGGAGTAGAAGACGGGAGAGCCAGCTGCCGCCTCGCCTGCTGGAAGCTGGAGTCTGCAGTACTGCGGTTCGGTTCGCCTTGCTGCAGCTCACCTCACTGTGGTTGGCGGTAGCCACGGACGCATGCCCCTGGAGCGGTAGGAGGGGAAACGAGTTTGGGGTGAGGTGGGAGGGCTAAGGAGGGTGGTTATTGCCGAAGGGACAAAGAGGATGGCGAACAGGATAAGATGTTGAAAAAAGACGGTGAGGAAAAGATGGTGGGAAAACTATTTTGGGGTAGATGGAAGGGGAAAATGGAGTGGCAAGTGAGAGGAGGAATGAGAGGATGGTGAGGGGGGAAGCAGGGGGCGAGGAAGAGGGAGAGAAGCTTTTGTGAAAAGATGGTGGGGAAACGTTTTTGGGTAGATGGAAGGGGAAAAGAGAGTGGCAAGTGACAGGAGGAATGAGAGGATGGTGAGGGGAGAACCAGGGGGTGAGCAGGAGGGAGAGAAGGTCTGAAAAAATGCGGGAGGAAAGAAGACAGTGCGTAAAAATTTTGGGCAGATGCAGAAGGGAAGAGGGGGACAAGTGGGAGAAGGAAAGGTGATGCAAAGAGGGAGGGGGAAGAGAAAGTGGGAAAGCAGGAGGGAGAGAAGGTTTTGCGAAAAGAAGGGGAGAAAATTTTTACGTAGATGAAGAGAGAAAAGAGGGTGGCGAGTGGGGAGGAGAAAAGGTTTTGCAAATAGACGATGGGCAGGAAAGAAAGACTGCAGAAAGAAAAGACAGTGGATAAAGTGGATAGATGGAGGGGGAAGAGGGTGGCAAGTGGGAAGAGAAAAGAGGGGGTGGCCAGAGGGAGTGCAGAAAGAGGGATGGGAAAAAGAAGATGGGAAAAATAGCGTAGAGGGCAAAGACGTGGCAAGCAGGATAAGGGGAAGAAGAGGGTGAGTGGGAAGCGGGGAAGGCTTTGCAAAAAAGATGGTGAGGAAATGTTTTGGGATAGATGGAGAAGGGAAAGAGGGTGGCAAGAAGGAAAGGGGAAAAAGACGATGGGGCAGCAGGAGTGGTGAGAAGGCTTTGGTAAAAGATGGGGAAAATGTTTTTGTGTAGATAGAGGAGCAAACGGGATGAGAGTGAGGCAGGAAAGAGGGTAGGAAAGAGGAAGAAAACACAGTGGGGGAAAACGGTGTATAAAAGTTTGGGGTAGATGAGTGGGGAAAACTGTAGTGAGCAAGAGAGGAGAGAAGTCTTTGTGAAATGACAGTGGGGGAAAATGTGGAAAAAGCTTTGGGGTAGATGGAGAAAGAAAAAGGCTGGCGAGAGGGAAGGGCCAAAGGCTGTAGGGAAAAGAAGATGGAAAAATAATGCTGGGGGACGGACAGAGGGTTTGGGTAGATCTTTTTCTGATTTTTAAATAAGGTTATTTGTATTTTTTGCTTTGGAGAAGTTTGAATTCTTTATATGTTTTCTATATTAGCTGCTTGCCTGATGGCATAGTTTGCAAATTCTTCCATATTCTGAATTCTGATTGCTTCCTCTACTTTGCAGAAGCTTCTGTGTTTAATGCAATTGCATTTGACGCTTTTTGCTTTTGTTGCTGTGGCTTTTGATGTGTATTTGAAAATCCCTTGTCCTAACCAATTTCATGAAGGATTTATACTGTTTTCTTCTCTAGTAGTTTCATAGTCGCAGGTCCTACATTTAAATCTTTATTTGAGTAGATTTTTGTATTTGGTAAGATAATGGTCTAGATTTATTCTTGACCGTTTATTATGTATGTGTTGTGTTGTCCTAGCACAGTTTATTGAAGAGACTGTCTGTTCCAAAGGTGTGTTTTGGTGCCTTTGCTAAAAATGAGTTGACTTTAAATGCATGAATTTATTTCTGAGTTCTCTATGTCTGTGTGTCTGTCTGTCTCTCCCTTGCCACTTTTATGGCCAGTACCATGCTGTTTTTGTTATTAAAGATTTATAATACATTTTAAAATCAGGTATTGTGATGTTTCCAGTTTTTTTTGATTCTTTTATCTATCTGAGATATTTTGCATTTCTATGTGAATTTTAGGATTTTTTTTCTGTTTCCATGAAGAATGTCTTTTGTAATTTCACATGAATTGCATTGATTCTGCAGATCACATTGGATGATAGATATTTTAACGTTCTAGTGCTTGGACATGGGCGATCTTACAACATGTCTGTTTTGATATCTTGTCTCTTTTATCATTTTCATTGTGGGATCTTCCAATTTTTTGTTGTGTTTAGGTATCTTTTTTGGGTGGTAGAAGTAATGAAACAGCTTTCTTGAATTACGAAGGAACGTTGAATTTTATTTTTTTCAGCATTACTGAAATGATGATATATTTTTTCTTGATTTGCTGAATGTGATGTGGCACATTTACTTATTTGGGTTTATTGAATTGCCCTCATATTTCTCAGATGAATCCCTCTAAATCGTGGCAGATGATCTGCTTATTGTCTTGTCCAATGCAGTTTTCAAATAGTTGGTTAGGATTTTTGCATCTGTGTTTATCAGGGATATTTGCCTGTGGTTTGCTTTTTTGTGTTGTGTTTTGGTCTGGTTTTTGTACCAGGGCTGGCCTCATAGGACAAGTTTGGAAGTGTTCCTTCCTCTTTATTTTTGGGGGAATATTTTGAGTATATTTGGTATTAGCTCTTTTAAAAATGTTTCATTGAATTCAGTAGTAAAACCATGATTCTTGTGCTTTTCTTTGATGGGAGACTTTTTATTACTACTTTAGTTGCATTACCCATAATTAGTCTGTTCTGTTTCTTATTTTTCTATTATTCTCTCCACACCAACCAAGGGAAGCAGTGGAGGCCCCAGCAAGTGGCCACACTAGCTGCTGCCCTTCTCTCTAGCCACTGACACATCTGGTTTATCTCAGTATCCCCAGGTGTCATGTGGGGGGCAGAGTGTAGCCTTCCCTGACCTAGGAATGCACCAACACAGGGCTCCAGGGTGAACCCAGAGTTGGGGCTGCAGCTTTCAGGGAAGGAGAGGACCCTGACCTCTTACTTCCTGGTTCCGGTGGTGAGGTTCCAGGAGTGTGGCCAGAGTGGGCCCACTCAATGTTGTGTAATAACAGGACAGAGAAGACAGCAGCCTTTAACACTTCACATGAAAATGTGGCATAAGAACCACTGATCAATCCAGTCTTGGTCAGAAAGGCATTGCCATTGTTGAGAGAGCCACTGTCTGAGTGCCTGTAGCTATGTATGTATGAAATATATACATATATATAATGCTGTTTGGCTTACGGTGTCTAAAATATTTACCATCTAACGTGTCATAAGAAATGTTTGCCTCTCCCAGTGCTACCTGCTTATGATTGTGCATGACCCTGTAAAGATTTAACCACTTTTAATAACAATAAACAATATTAGCTACCGTTTACTGAGGCTCAGAAATGTTTAGTAACTTGCCTAAGGTCACACAGCTAGTAAGTGGCATAGTGGGATCTTGCAGTGACAGTTTGGAGGGTGCCATGCAGATGCAGGTGGCCCCCTGGACTTCAGCTTCTCCAGGTCTGTGCATGACTCCAAAACTGCCAGGCAGCTCTGTGACCCCCAATATCTCCTCATGAGGTTGCTCTGGGATGGCTGCCAAAGCTTCTTTTAATAAAAATCCTCATGAGAACACTGTGACCAGAGCTTCTATGTTTCTGGCATTTTCCTTCCCATGGGGCCGCCCAGCCTCAGCCGTTCTTTTGTAACTTGGCTAACTCCTTTCTGGTTTCCTCCTAGACTTTACCTTGTGGGTTCACAGGGGAGACTGCTGTTGCTAACCCCTGCTAAGCGTCGTTTCTGGTGGGCAGAGTTGACAAGCCACCTGCTTCTTCACTACTCCTGACTCATCTCTGCAGAGCAGACACACCTCACTTTTTGGGCATCACTGAAGAATGTTCTGGTAAGTACGTTTCTCAGGAATCAAAGCTTAGTGCTCAGAACACTCACATTAAATCTTTTTTTTTTGTAAAAGATGGAGTCTTACTCTTACTGCCAAGGCTGGAGTGCAGTGGCACAATCTCAGCTCACTGCAACCTCTGCCTCCCGGCTTCAAGCAATTTTCTTGTGCTAGCCTCCTGAGTAGCTGGGATTACAGGTGCCTGCCACCACACCCAGCTAAGTTTTACATTTTCCGTAAAGACAGAGTTTCACCATGTTGGTCAGGCTGGTCTTGAACTCCTGAGCTCAGGTGATCCACCTGCCTCAGCTTCCCAAATTGCTGGGTCTGTGCTATGACCAGGTCCAAGACAGGACCCAACCAAGTCTAGGGTGACAGCCAGGGCAGGGTCAAACCCAGGGTGTGGCCTAGACAGAGACAAGGCAGGCAGAGCAGGGCCAGGGTGATGCCAAGGCAAGGGAAAGGACAGAGAATGGCCAGGGCAGTGCCAGAACAAGGGTAAGGACAGTGCAGCTTCATGGCCATGGCAAGAGTCCAGGGAAATGATCAGGGCCATAGCAGCACTGGCAACAGGGCTTGGTCTAGGACAGTGACAGCCAGGGTCAGGGCCAGAGTAGTGCAAGACCAGGGTAATTCCAGGCATTTCAGGGTCAGGACAGGATCAGGACCAGTACAGAACCAGGTAATGCCTTAAGCAGGGAAAGGCCAGGGATGGGTCTAGGTTAGGGTCAGGTCAGGGCCATAACAGAGGGGCAAGGCTAGGGAAGGACCTGAGCAGGATAAGGGCCAGGGACAGGGCTGTGACACAGCAGGGTCATGGTGCAGCAGGGACAGAGCTGGTTCATAGACAGGACAGGACCAATGTCAAGGTAGAGCCAGGCTAGTGCCAGCTAGTACCAGGGCTGAGAAGGGTCAAGGCATATCGAGGGCAGGACCAGGACCAGGAAAGAGCCAGGAAAGTGTAGGGCAGGGCATTGGCAGAACTTGGCTGTTGCAGGGCCATTTCAGTGCCAAGACAGGGCAGCGGGACAGGGACAATCCAAGGCTGAACCAGGTCACTTCAGCGCCTGGATACCTCCAAGTCCAGTTCATGACAGGGCAGGTCCAGGGTAATACCAGGCCAAAGTATAGGACCAGGGTCAGGTCCAGAGCAGGGCCTAGTTAAGGCTAGGTTAAGGGACAATGGCAGGGTCTGGGGGCTGAGGACAGAGACAGGACATGTCAGGGAAGGGCGGTTTAAGACAAGGGCTATACTAGGACAAACCAGGCCTAGGGCCTTGGCAGAGTCATGACAGGTCCTTGGAAGGGCCAGAGACCAGGGAAGGGTCAAGGTCAGGATAAGGGCAGTGATAGGGTCAGGGATATGGCAATGACGGGGCAGGACCATGACGGGTCAGGTCCAGAGGAAGTCCATAGAGAGGGTAGAGAAAAGCCAAGGCAGGGTTAGGGCAGGTATAGGGAGGGACCAGGGCCAGGACATAACCAGGGAAGGGTAGGCCAGCTAGGCTAATGCAGGGCCAGGTCAGTCCTGGGAGAGAGCAGAGCAGGCAAGGCCATGGTGGGGACAGGGCAGGGATGGGCCATGGCAATGACAGGACCCATCAGGCACATGACATGTCCAAGTCTAGGTCATGGTCAGAACAGGACCAGGACTATGACCTCTGACAGCCTGGGGTCATGTCAGGACCAAGGTTGGGACAAAAATCAGGGTCAGATGAAGGCACGGCCAGCCCAGGTCCAGGGAAGAGGCAGTGCATGCTGGGGCTGGGCCAGTGTAGCACAGGGCCAAAGAAAGGCCAGGGTAGGACAGGGACAAGTCAGGGTCAGGGCTATGGCAGGACTGGTGGCAGGGTCAGAGCCATGGTAGGACCAGAGACAGGGCCAGAGCAGGTCCTGGACATGGATGGGGTTGGGCAGGGCAGGGCCAGAGTAGTGCAGTGCCCAGTCAGAGTTGGGTCAGGGCAGGATAGGGCCTGGGCAGAGCAGTAGCAGTAGTAAGGTAGCACAGGGTATTGCCAAAAGCAGGGCATGGTCACAGCAGGGGCAGGCCTAGGAACAGGGCCAGGGTATGGTGGGGCAAATACAGGCCCAGGTTAGAGGATGACAGAGTAGGGCCAAGGCAAGGCCAGGGAGAAGGCACACTCAGGGCCAGGGTCAGGCCAATGCAGAGAGGGCCGATGAAGGGTCAGTGTAGCGTGAGGGCAAGACCAGGACATGGTGGGGCAAGGAAGAGCAAGGGAAGGGCCAGGGTCCAGACCAGGGCAGGCTCAGGATCTGGATAAGGACAGAGTAGCACCATTGCAGGGAAGGGCAAGACAGGGCTAGAGCCTGACCATAGAGAGGGCAGGGCAAAAGCCAAGTCAGGGTCAGGGTAAATCCAGGAAGGGGCTAGGGCAGGCCAGAAACAGGGCACAACCAGTGTAGGGCAAGACTGGGTAATGCCATGACGGGGCCATGGCAGTGCCAGGAAAGGGCAGTATATGCAGAGGTCAGAGACAGGTCCAGGAATGGCTGGGACAAATCAGGCTCAGGACATGTCCACGTCCAGGTCAGGGCCAGAACAGGACCAGGACAGTGACCACTGGCAGGCCGGGTACCATGACAGGACCAGAGTCAGCAGGAGCAGCAGGGCCAGAATCAAACCATGGCACGCACAAGTCCAGGGAAGGTACAGGGTAGCACATGGCCAAGACAAGGATAGGGTAGGGCCAGGGAAGTGGGTACAGCAATGCCTAGTCAGGACTGGATGAGGGTAAACTGGGGCTGGGTCATGGCTAGGGAATAAACAAGGGCAGGGTCATAGCTAGGGACATGATGGGGCCAGGAGAGGTCAAGATATGGGGAAAAACCAGAGCAATGCCGGGGACATGGCAGGGTCAGACCTTGAGAAAAGGTAAGGTTAGACAAGCTCAGGTCCTAGGCAAGCCAGGGCTAAGGTAGCACAGAAGCAAAGCAAGGCAGACAGTGTAGGGTGAGGACAGACAGTGTCAGGGTATGGCAGGGCAGCGACAGAGATACCCAGGGCTGGTACATGGACAGCAGGGCCCACAGCAAGGCAGTGTCAGGGAGGGGCTAAGACAAGGGCAGGGCCAGGTCAGAATTACAGCCAGGGTAGTGTAAGACCAGGGCTGAATATGGCCAGTGTAGGGAGGCCCATGTCAGGCTAGGATAGGCTAAGGGCAATGTCAGGGTTGAGGCAAGACTAGGATAGCACAGGACCAAGGTAGGGTCAGAGAACGGCAGGGCCCAGGAAGAACCAGGAAATGGCAGGGCCAGCATAGCAGAGAGACAAGGAAAGGCTAGGGCAGGTAGTGGCCAGGGCAGGGCCAGAAGCAAAGTAAGAATGACAGGCATGAATGAATGAAAGGGCAGGACCAGGCCAAGTTAGAGTCAGGGCTATGGCAGGGCGAGGACCATGGGCAAGTCAGGGCCCAAACAGTATTAGGGTTAGAGCAGCACCCTGGCATGGGAATTGTAGGGAGTACAGTGCCCAGTTGGCTGTGCTAGGGCAGGACCTGGGTGGGTCATGGTCAGGGAAAAACCAGGGACAGGGTCACAGCCAGGGACATGATAGGACCAAGATTAGGGCCAAAAGCAGTGCAGAATCAAGGCCAAGGCAGGAACGTGGCAGTACCAGGGCTTGGCACAGGATAAGGTCAGGATGAACTGGGGGCCAGGTCAGGGCAGAACTAGGGTAGTGCAGAGCCAAGAGAAGGCAAAATCAGTATAAAGCAAAGACAGTGCCCAGGGATGGCAGGGCGGGGACAGGGAATACCAGGGTTGGGAAATGGACAGTAGAGGACCCACAACAAGTCAGGGCCAGAAAGGGGCCATGACAAGGGCAAGGGCAGAGAATGGCCAAGAAAAGGCAGGGCCATGGAAAGGTGAAGGCAACGGGTGGGGAGGGCCAGGGAAAAGGCCATGGCTGAGGCAGGACTAGGACAAGGCAAAGGCAGGTCCTGGGAAGGGCAGGACATCGCCAGGTTCGAACCACGGTATGGCAGGGCCAGATCAGGGTCAGGTCTATGGCATAAACAGAGCAGGGTCAGCTCTGTACTGTAGCCAGGGAAGGTCCAGGGACAATGCAGGGATAAAGAGGGTTCGGGGTGATTTGTATTTTGCTATAGCCCCCTAATTTTAGTAATACTGCCACAAGTACTATTGAGCCAGCAATAGGGGCTTCTACATGGCCTTTGGGAAGTCATGGGTGAAGTCTTTATAGACATATTTTGACTATGGAAGCCATCGTATATGACAACAATGTGGTGTTATTAGTTCAAGAACATAATAATTCTTGGGTTATATTTGTTATTGTTTAGTATATTTAGTGATGAGATGTTTTGGATATATAGGAATGTAATAAGTAAGGGGAGGGATCCCCTAGTATATGAAATAAGAAATATGAGCTTCCATTAAGACATTCTGGCTGATACCCTCAGCGGGTAGTGATGATTAGAATGGGGATTAGAATATAAAATATAATTAGGTCTGTGGCTGTGAATGCTATAATTAGAAAAATCTGTAGAAGAATTAGTGTGGAAATATAGAGCTATTTGTGGGAAAGAATCAGTGGCTACGTGATGTTGAGTAGCTAGAATTATAAGGGGTAGTAATCAGCTGTTAAAATTAGAAGAGGGGATGTTAATGGGTCTGAAAGGAAAGTCAGTGAGAGGCTGCGTGGGTTGTTGGGTTGGCAAAAGTGTAATAGTGCAAAGAGGCTAATAAATAAGCTATGGGTGGCTGTGTTGATTCAGATTGTTATTTTTTAAAAGTTATGTTGCTGGTAGTAGTATGATATCCCAAATTTTGGGGATAATATTTTTTATATTTTTAAATTATTTTTTAGGGTGTACAGAATATAACTTTTCTTATTGTTCCATTATACAATTTTACCTTTCTTTGGAATCTCCAATTCTCATAGTGGCAGAAAATTAGTCATGGTCATTTCTTGGCATTTTACATTTAAGCTTAGTTAATTAAGAATTGTTCTTTTTCCTTAGCCTGGCTCCTAGGCTTGGGGATATACTTTATATCTCAGTCTCAGGGAGAGGTGTCTGCTCCCCAGACCTCCAGGTGGAAGTGTGTCACTGCCGCTTCTGCACCTGCATCCCCAAACTTTATCTGCATCCCCAAACTTTATCACCATAATTGGTGAAACCTCACATATTATCCCAGCTATATAAGAGATAGAGGATGTGAGAAAGATAAACCAAATATTAGCAGAGTTCACACCCAGGGCATAAGACGAAGAGAAGAAGGAAAAAGATTTTGGTTTTACATCTTTCCACATTGCCTAATTTGTTTTTACAATAAACATGTATTTTTTGGAAATGAATTAATTAGTCTAAAGATTAGTGAAATGGTGAAATGGCTCACATCTGTAATCTCAGCACTTTGGAAGGCTAAGGGTGAAGGATTGCTTGAGCCCAGGAGGTTGAGACCCTGCATAACATAGTGAGATCCCACCTCTACAATACATTTAACAATTAGCCAGGTGTGGTGGTGTGCACCTGTAGTTTAAGTTCTGCACACGGCTTAGGCCGTATGTGTTGGAAATTGTGACTAGTGGGGCTATGCCTACTGCAGCTTCACATACAGCAAATACTAGAAGGACAGTAGGTATTAGGAACTCAAACTCAGTAGTTTGAGTTCTTTGTTTTGTGTATTAACCCCTTTCCTGAGGCATAGTTTGCAGATACTTCCATATTCTGGATTGTTTCCTCATTCTTCTGATTGCTTCCTCTACTTCACAGAAGTTTCTAATTTGAATGTAATTGCATTCGGTTCTTTTTGCTTTTGTTGCTTGTGCTTTTGATGTCTATTTGAAAATCCCTTGTCCTAACGAATTTCATGAAGCATTTAAGATGTTTTCTTCTCTAGTAGTTTCATAGTTTCAGGTCCTACATTTAAATCTTTATTTTGAGTAGGTTTTTGTATTTTTGTACATGTGGGTGTTGTGTTTTCCTAGCAGTTTATTGAAGAGATTGTCTTTTCCGAAGGTGTGTTCTTCGTGCCTTTGTTAAAAATGAGTTTCCTGTAAAGGCATTAATTTATTTCTGAGTTCTCTATTCTGTTTCATCTGTGTATGTCTGTCTGTCATTCTTCTATGTCTGTCTGTCTCTCTCTGTCTCTCACTTGCACCTTTTTTGGCCAGTATTATGCTGTATTTGTTACTATAGATTTGTAATATATTTTGAAATCACGTATTTTGATGCTTCTAGCTTTTTTCTTTATATTCATGATTCTTTTGTCTATCTGAAGTATTTTGGATGTCTGTGAATTTTAGGATGCTTTTTTTTCTATTTCTATGAAGAATAGCTTTTGTAATTTCATGTGGATTGCATTGATTCTGTAGATCTCACTGGGTAATGTATATTTTAACATTCTTCATAGTGCTTGGACATGGGATATATTTCTTTAATACTTTCATCTGATTTATAGCTTTTGTTGTGGGATCTTCCAACTTTCCGGTTATCCCTAGGTATCTTTTGTTGGTGGCAGCAGCAGTGAAATAGCTTTTTGAATTTTTATTATGAAGGACTGTTGAATTTTACGTTTTTCAGCATCTACTGAAATGATTATATGGTTTTTTTTGATTTGCTGAATGTGATGTAGCATATTTATGTATCTGTGTTTATTGAATCATCCTCCTGTTTCTCAGATGAATCGCACTTCATCATGGCAGATGATCCTTTTATTGTCTTGTCAAATGCAGTTTTCATGTATTTTGTTGAGGATTTTTTGTATCTGTGTTCATCAGGTTTATTTGTCTTTTTCTTTTTTGTGTCTTGTTTTGGTCTGATTTTTGTACCAGAATAGTGCTGGCGTCATAAAACAAGTTTTTGACATATTCCTTCCTCTTCATTTTGGGGAAATATTTTGAATAAAATTGGTATTAGTCTTTTAAAAATGTTTCATTGAATTCATCAGTAAAACCATGATTCTTGTGTTTTTCTTTGACAGGAGACTTTTCATTACTATGTAAATTGCATTACCCATAACTGGTCTATTCAGGTTTCTTATCTTTCTATCATTCTATCCACACTGGCCCAGGGATGCAGGGGAGTCCCCAGCGAGTGGCCACACTAGCTGTTGCCTTTCTCTCTGGCCACTGACACATTTGGTTCATTTCGGCATCTCTGGGTGTTCTAAGCGGGGGGGCACAGTGTAACCCACACTGGCCTGGGAGTGCACAAACACGACCCCTGGGTGAGCCCAGAGCTGGGGCTGTAGCTAGAACATCAGGGCAAGAGAGGCCCCTGGCCTCTCACTTCCTGATCCCGGTCCTGAGGTTTCAGGAGTGGGACCAGAGTGGGCTCACTCAGTGTTGTGTAATGACAGGGCAGAGAAGGCAGCAGCCTTTGACACTTCACATGAAAATGTCGCATGAGAAGGACCCAATCCAGTCTTGGCCAGAAAGTCATTGCCATTGGCGAAAGAGCCCGTGTCTGAGTACTTGTAGCTATGTATGTATGAACTATATACATGTATATATGTAATGCTTGTTGGCTTACAGTGTCTAAATGTTTATCATCTAATGCGTCAGAAGAAATGTTTGCCTTTCCCAGTTCTAACTGATAATGGCCATGTGTGACCCTATAAAAATGTAACCATTTTTGATAACAATAAACAACAATATTAGCTGCCATTTACTGAGGCGCAGAAACATTAAGTAACTTGCCTAAGGTCACACAGCTAGTAAGTGGCAGAGCAGGATCTTACAGTGACAGTTTGGAGGGAAGAAGAGAATAAGTGATGGAGTTGATTCCAGCCATGCAGATGCAGGCGGCATCCTGGACTTCAGCTTCTCCAGGGCTGGGCTTAACTCCAGAACTGCCAGGCAGCTGTGTCACCCCATCTCTCATGAGCTTGCTCTGGGATGGCTGCCAAAGAATCCACTTGAGAACACTGGTCAGAAGCTTCTGTCTCCCTGGCATTTTCCTTCCTGTGGGGCCTCCCAACCTCAGGAGTTCCTCTGTAACATAGCTAACTCCCCTCTTGTTTCCTCCTAGACTTTACCTTTTGGGTTCAGAGGGGAGACTGCTGTTGCTAAGCCCTGCTGAGCATCATTTCTGGTGTGGCAGAGTTGACAAGCCACCTGCTTCTTGACTACTCCTGACTCATCTCTGCAGAGCAGACACACCTCACTTCTTGGACATCACTGAAGAATGTTCTGGTAAGTAAATTTTTCAGGATTCAAAGCTTACTGCTCAGAACACTCAGCTTTAGAAACCTGGAACTATTTAGCCTGTTAAAATCTGGGCTCACTGCAACCTCTGCCTCCCGGGTTCAAGCAGTTTTCTTGTGCTAGCCTCCTGAGTAGCTGGGATTACAGGTGCCTGCCACCACGCCCAGCTACATTTTATATTTTCAGTAAAGTTTCACAGCATTGATCAGGCTGGTCATGAATTTGTGACCTCAAGTGATCCGTCTGCATCAGCATCCCAAAGTGCTGGGTCTGTGCTGTGGTCAGGTCCATGACAGGGCCCAGCCAACTCTTGAGTGATGGCCAGGGTAGGGTCAAACCTAGGGTAGGGCCAAGGCAGAGGCAGGACCAGGATGGTACCAAGACCAAGGAAAGGACAGGGAATGGCCAGAGTAGGGACAGGACAGGGGCAAGGATAGGGCTGGTTCATGGCATGGCCAGGGTCTGGGGACAGGGTCAGGACCATAGCATCACCAGCAACTGGGCTGCGGCTAGGGCAGTAACAGTGCCAGAGTCAGGCCCAGAGCAGTGCAAGGCCAGGGTAATGCCAGACATTTCAGGGTCAGACAGGATCAGGACCAGGGAAGAACCAGGGTAAGACCTCAAGCAGGGCAGGACCAGGACCAGGATGTAGGTTATTGCCAGGGTGGGGCTGTAACAGAGGGAAGGGCCTGAGTAGGTTAAGGATCAGGACCAGGGTGGGGGAAGGGCCAGGACTGTGACAAGGTAGGGTCATGGCAGAGCATGGCCAGAGCTGGTTCATAGAGAAGGCAGGGACAGTGCTAAGGTAGGGCCAGGGCTGAGGAAAGGACAGTGAAAATCAAGTGTGGGACCAGGGCCACGCACAGGCAAGGCAGGGTAGGTCAGGGCATTGGTACGACTGGGATGTTGCAGTGTCATTTCAGTGCCAAGACAGGGCAGAACAGGGATAGACGATGGTAGGGCCAAAGTAGGGACAAGCCAAGGCTGGTCCAGGTCAATTCAGGGCCAGGATACCTCCAAGTCCAGTACAGGACCATGGCAGATTCAGGGTTATTGCAAGCCAAAGTGTAGGACCAGGTCTGGGCTAGGGCCAGGTCCCGTGTGGGGCCTAGTCAAAGCTAGGTTAAGGGCCAAGGTAGGGCCAGGTCAGGGTCTAAGCCAGAGTAGGTCAAGGGCAGGGTGAAGACACAGCCAGGGCACAGCAGGGAAGGGTGGGTCAAGACAAGGGCTATACCAGTACAGAGCAGGACCAGGTCCTTGGCATGGACCAGGAAGGGTCAGGGTCAGGCCTGGATAAGAGCAGGGTTATGGTCAGGGATATGGCAGGGACAGGGAAGGACCATGGTAGGGCAGATCCAGAGCCAGTCCATACAGAGTAGAGAAAAAGTCAAGGTAGGGTGAGGACAGGTCCAGCAGGGATGAGGTCCAGGACACAACCATGGTAGGATAGGCCAGGGCAATGACACTACTGGACCATGGCATGGCCAGGTCAGTCTTGGGAGAGAGCAGAACAGGCAAGGATGTGGTGGAGACAGGGCAGGGAAGGGCCAAGGCAAGGATGGGACAAATCAGGCCCATGGCATGTCCAAGTACAGGTCACAGCTAGAACAGGACAAGGATCATGAGCACTGGCAAGCCTGGGGTCATGTCAGGACCAAGGTCAGGACAAAAGGCAGGGTCACAGTGAAGGCATGGCCGGCCCAGGTCCAGGTAAGGGGTAGGGCCTGCTAGGGCCAGTGTAGTACAGGGACAAGGAAAGGGCAGGGCAGATAGGGGTCAGAGTAGAGGCAGGGACATGGAAGGCCAAGGGTAAGGAAAAGGCCAAAGAAGTGCCAGAGAAAAAGCAAGCCAGGGAGGGTTGAAGGCAAGAATGGCCAGTTCAGAACCTGAGTCAGAGGAGGCCAAAGGCAGGGCCAGGACTGAGGAAGACCAGAGTAGGGAGGGACACATCAAGCCAGGGTAGGGCTAGGGCAAGGTTAGGGACAAGTTAGGACTAAAATAGCACAGGACTAAGGCAGGGCTAGTGCCAGGACAGAACCACAGAATGACAGGGCCAGGTCAGGGTCAATTCAATGGCATGGGCAGCATCAGCACATTGCTATGGGCAGGGCAGGTAAATGTAGAGCCAAGGAGGGGCCAGGGTTAAAGCAGACATAGGGTGAAGGCACAGTAATTGCAGGGCGTGTACGTTGCCAGGGCCAGTTTAGGGACAGGTCAAGGTTGGGTGAGGGACAGGGCCAGATCAGGGCAGGACCAGTTAGGGTACAGGGCAAGAGCCGATCCAGAGCAGAACCAGGACCAGGAGAAACCAAAGGTAGGGCCAAGGTAGGGTAGGGCTAGGGAAGAGTAGGACTAAGGTAGCACAGCCTGGCCAAATGCAGGGTAGGACCATAGTAGGGGAAGGATGAGGATCAGGGCAAGGGCAAACACTGGGCCAGGGTATGGTGTGGCCAGTACAGGGCCAGGATAGAGAATGACAGGAGGATGTCTGGAGGAATGGGTAAGATCAGGACCATGGCCAAGTGAGGGCCATGACAGAACCAGAGCTGGGTTAGCACCCTCGTATTGGCAGTGCAGGGCAAGGAAAATGGCATTGCCCAGTCAGGACTGTGCTAGGGCAGGAGCAGAGCTTGGATAGGACCAGAACTGTAGGAAGAGGGTTGGGTCATGGCCAGGAAAAATTCAGGGGCAGGGTAAGAGCCAGGGACATGAAAGGACAAAGATGAGGGCCAGGGCTGAGTAGAAACAGGGCAGAACCAGAAAGAGCCAGGAACATGGCACGGCCAGGGCTTAGGCCAGGGCAGGTTCAGGACCAATACAAGGCAGGGCAGGGATAGGGTAGTACAGAGCAAAGGCAGGATAGGGCCAGTGTAGAGCAAGAATGCAGCAAGAGGATGTCAGAGTGTGGTCACAGAAGGCCATGCTGAGAACATGGACCCGGCAGGGCCCACAACAAGACAGGGCCAGAAAGGAGCCAGGACAAGGGCAAGGTCACTGAAGGGCCAAGGAAAAGGTAGGGCCACGGAGGAGCTAAGGTAAGGACAGGGCTATGTGAGAACCAGAGTCAGGGCCAGGGCAAGACAAAGGGAAGGGAGGGCCACAGCAGACCAGAGTAGGGCCAGGGCAAGGTTAGGAGAGCACAGGTTTAAGACAGGGCCAGTGAAGGGCCAAGCCATGCCATCGCCAGGGCATGGTCAGGTCCATGGCTTGAACAAGGCAGGATCAGTGCCATACCATAACCAGGGAAGGTCCAGGGACAAGACGGGACCAAGATAGACCAGGACCAAGTCAGCCATAAGGTAGATTCAGTGACAGGGCATGGCTGCATCAAGGACAGGGCCAGTCCAAGTCCAGGTTCAGGAAAGGTCTAGAGCATGGATAGAGCCAGTGCAGAACCAGGAAATGACAAAGGCAGGTCCAGGACAAAGTATGGTTAAGGGTAGGACCAGAGCAAAGCAGGACCAAGGTAGCACATGGCCTGGCCAAATGCAGGGGAGGACCATGGCAGGGGAGGACTAGGAGTAGGGCCAGGGAAAACACTGGGCTCTGGGCATGGCAGGGCCAGGGCAGAGGAGGGCAGTGCAGGGCCAGACTATACCATGGACAGAGTAGGCATCCCAGAGCAGGGTGAGGGCAAGTCTGATAAGAAGGCAGGGCCAGAGCCAAGACAGAGCCAGGGAAGCGCAGGACAATTTCAGGGGAAGGGGAAGGTCAGAGCTTGCAGGGGCAGGGTCATGTAGATCAGGGACAGGATAAGGATAGGGCCAGGGCCAGGGCCAGGAATATCATAGGTCCAGGGCCAGCTCAGGGCAAGGCAGGGAAGTACCAGAACCAGACCATGGGGCAGGGAAAGTCCCAAGGAAGGACCAGGTAGTACCAGGGCTGAATGACAGCTCCGAGTGCAAGGGCTGAGGAAGGATATGGGAAGGTCCATAGCTGAGCCAGGGTCAGATCGAAGACATGAACAGGGAGGGGTCAGGATCAGGACAGGTCCAGGGCACAACCAGAGAAGGGATAGGCAGGGCAATGGGAGGACCAGACCATGGCAAGGCCAAGTCACCACCGGGACAGGGCAGGACAAGACCGGGGTCACACAGGATAAATAGGGCAAGTCCATTGCAGGGCTGGGGTTTGGACCAGAACCAGAGAAGTGCTGAGGCAGGGCCAGTGCTGGGACCAGGACTAGGAAAAAGGGCAATTTCAGGAACAAGGCAAAGAAAGATCCTCAGGGCCAGAGTCAGGGACATGGCAGGACCAGCAACAGGGCTAGGTACAGACAGTGATAGGACCAGAGTCAGGGCGAGGGCCAGAAGAGCGTGTACTGGGTTAGGGCTCAGGCAAATCAGGGCCAGGGCCAGGCCAGTGTCATGATAAGGCCTTTAGCAGGTCAGGACCAGGACAGGGTTAGTGCAATGGCCAGGTCTAGGACAAGACTGGGGCAGGACCATGATAGGGTCGGCACCATGGCAGGACCAGGGATAGGAGCACGAGCCAGTGGTCAAGGTCAGGGCTATGGCCAGGTCAGAGTGGCAAGACCAGAAGCAGGGTGAGTGAGGTCAGGACCAGGGTAGAACTAGGATTGTGCAAGGTCAGACCCAGGCGAAGCAATGTAAGGTCAGGCTCTAAGACACTGTGGCCATGTCTAGGCTGGGGCCAGGGCCACAGCAGATGCAGAGCCAAGGAGAAAGCAGAAACATGGAGGGTCCAGAGGAGGGCAAGATCAAGGCAGAACCAGAACCAGCAAGAAGCAAAAGCAGGGAGAGGGCAGTGCAAGGCCTGGTTAGGGCCAGTTCCAAAACAGGGCAGGGCTAGGATAGTACAAGGTATAGCAAAAAGCAGGGCAGGGGTCATAGCTGGGGTACAACTAGGAACAGGGCCAGGGTATTCTGGGGCCATTACAGGGCCATAACAGAGGATGACAGTGCAAGGTCAGGGTAAGGAAAATGTAGGGCCGGGGCCAAGGCAGAGAGTGTCAGTACAGGGTCATT